GTTTCAAAATATGGAAAAAAACTTGTTGGCCGATTCTAATAGTTCATTTTAAAGCCAGTATCAACCGATATTATTGTGCATCCCTACTGGCCACGTATTGCACTTGCTCCTGTGTGTGTATTCATGTACTAGAGAACTTTGAGGGCATCTATGGCTGGACAAAATTAGAGACTATTCAATGTCATCAGTAACATTTCAGTGAGCACATGATGCAGCATGAGGTGGAGATGGTCTTGTGTTGTGCTATGGTACTGATTTTGGAAAATTGATTGGACAGATATCTGCCATCTTGAATTTAGCAAATTTTGAAGTATCTAAAATTTTCAGTTCATCAGATCAGATGCCGGGTTAAGTAGTCAGACAGACATGGTAAACCAAAAAGTATAGTGAACTCGGAATTAGTGGGGAAGATGTTACAATTTTCTCAAAGGGTGGCCTCACAGCTTGTAATTATTATCAATCAAACATCTCTGCTCTCTTCAGACCTATAAACAAAGACTAAAAAAGTCACAAATCCCCTTTTACAAGCTTAGACATGAATAAAGCTGAAAATATATTCCTGCTACTGAGGCTATGTTCACAGTACAGGGCTTATTGCTCATTTCTGATGATTTCCCCCAATCCTAACCCTAACTGACATACTGGTACAAGTTAGCCATGTGCTTCTGTTTGGGAGAAAATATGGTGTGTTTTCAGAGAAATGTCCTTAGGAGCAATGGGTGTCTGGATGGGGGGCTGTTGTACACATGAGCTTTCAGTCCACTAGCTCTGTTAGCAGGTGTTGCTGGTACTTATGTGGAGAGAGAGGTGTGGGTGTGGCCAGGAAAGTCAGGAGTGGTGGGGCGATGATGTGGATTCCTCCAAAACCTGAGGATGTCCAGGGTTACGTTTCATTAACTCTGGTGCGCTTTGTGACAGCGCTGTTGCTGTACACATGTACTGTTTCCCTCAAAAAATAATGCACCTGTAATCATGAGCCAGTAATTCGTGTTTAACCCACATATCCCATAAGGCTGCAATCAGTGACCAACATGATCGGGAGTAAAGAATAAAGAGGGGAAGCTGTCTCATAAGGAGGCAGGTTGGGGTGGTGGATGAATCACAAAACACGGGACTTTCCACAGGAAATCAGTGTTCAAAACTGTGTGAATTTTGAGGATACTTTAAGTCCTTTTAAGGTACGTCATCCCCATCTTTCTCTTCCTAACCTAATCACAGTAACTTGTCTTAAACTAGAGACGCCCAACCATGTTTCTTTTTGTAAACCTTACCACAGTAACTTCACTGGCCTAAACCTAACCTCTGTAACTTTTTCTTAGGTGTGTAACTTTATGTTAAGTACGTAACGTCATTCTTGGGGCACTAATTCATGGGATATCTCATAAACTGACACATTGCGGCATGTTGGCAAGCTGTCCCTGTCAGACAGCATCTGCCAGTTGAGCTGTATTGGCTGGCAGTTGGAGCAACCTATTGCAGCAGCTGTATGCCCATGGCAGCCTTTTGTAGTTTCAACAGACCACTACGACACTTCCTGTGCATTTGCTTCTCAAACACCATGTGGTGCAACTTGGATAAATCATCAGTGATGACCCCAGGATAATAGGGTCTTTAATCATTAGACACCCTCACCTGGGCGACTCAGCCAGATTGAAGTATGATGTAGAAAAACCATTGATGTATGGGAGGACAACCATGGATTCTGACAGGGATGCATGATAATATCTGCACGTCATCAGTATCGGTAAATTATTTGAATCGACCAACATGCTGATAATATTGGTACATTATTGGTAATTCCACTACAGAAAAGACTTGATGATCACTAAAATTAGGTGGGGAAAATGTGGATATATCGATATCAGTATCTGTTATCTGCCAATTAAGTTGTTATGTATCGGCATTTTGGTTCTAGGCAAGAAATCCAATATCGTGCAGCCGTTGCATGGCCAGCCATTGGATATGTGTTTTATTTTAGAACCACATATGAAAGTGGCTCAGATCTAATTGGAAAAAATCTAATTTATGTTTCCACACTACCCTGAAATTTGCTTGTAATGTGGACGTAGCCTAAGATTTCTCAGGCTGGTATCAAGGCTGCAATTATCTCCTCTCTTACAAACAATGGTCAGATGTATGTTATATTAGCCTCTCAACATGTGCAGGGTCAACAAGGCCAAATAAACAATGCTGCTGGAGTTTGATTTAGGATTGTATGCTTTTCTAATTTAAGGTTCAAAGAGCGGGTTCTTGGCATTACATCAGTGCTAGGTTCAAACAGGGTTACTTGTTCTCACAGTTGATTCACTGAATTCACTCCAGCTTTGCAGCATCTCCTCTACTACAGTTCTACCAAAGGGATTTTTTTCCTGTAGTAAATATTGTTTTTTTTTTGGGTTTTTTTTTCAGCAAAATCTGATTACACCACTGACACCTCATAGCAGTGTGTGCAAACACTGGTGTCTTGGAGTAAGATTGACAGTTTGAGACATCATCTAAGTGTGTTGTGTCTCCGATGTGTAATAACCACATGAGAGGCTTCCTCTTGATACATCAAAAGCCTTTGTTTATCACAGAGGAGGAACGACTCCCCGGTCCAAAGCAAATACATTTCTGCTGTGAAGATAAAGGACCCGGTAGGTAGGGCAGAGCCCATTGCTTATTAATATCACAACTCTGTTCTCTGATCTCCCTTTGAAAACATAAATGAAAAGAGCAAGATAGAAAATTAGATATGAATGAAATAGGAAAAGAAAAACCCAGTCAGAACTTCTCAGTTTCTGGCTTTGTTTGGTTCATAAGCAACCAGGGACAGAAAAACAAACAGTGGGACAGAAGGGTATTACCTCACCATGGTGCATTGTTAACAGAGTGGCCCGGTTCAACTTTGAAGACACTCCCACCTCTGGTCATCTCACCAGATAATGATCCACTCACGCTCTCCTCGCCTGCCTTTCATGAGGCCTTATAAAACTTATTCACAATCTCTCACCTCACAAATTCCTCTAACTTTATACTGGAGAGTTCACCTCCACCACCACCTCAGACCACCTCAGACCTGAAACAAGGTCTAACTTCATTTGGCCATCCATCAGCCTGTCAATTAAACGTAATAAGATTTTAATTGGATTTTATGCTCTGGCTTCCCTCCCAAACCTTATTATTCGTACTTATCATGAGAGATCAGCTGAAAAAACAACAGCTTGCAGCAGCATGGTTGAACAGTCCTATTCATTTCTGTTGTTTAGCAAACAGCTTTGCTTGTCAGGACCCTCTGGTAGTCTGTGCTCAGTCAAGATGCAGAATAATGAGCTGGGGTAGTGTTCCACCAACCATTTTACAGACTGCTTTCTATAGTCTCAGTGCTAAAAGTTGTAGTTATTAGTTGACAGAAAAAGCAGTAGCTGTAGCAGTGGGAGAGCATTTTGTTTCTTCTTTTTTTCTTTTTTTTTTACCAAGCAGCACCAACATTATTATTCCTCTTCTGCTTGGCTATGGTAACAGTTGAATGATAGATTGTTTTCCAATCCAACGTCCTTCCTCTGCTGAGTCAGGCTATAATTAAGCTGATATGGTTTAGTCTGAACCTGACATTTCTGATTTTTCAGCCTGTTCTCATTGCTAGGACATCAAACAACACCGCTTTGACAAGGCCCTCAGCATGTAAAACATACCAAAGCACCCTTTAGTGTCTTTATGAAACGCACCACTTCACATTTAGTAGGGATGCACAATATTGGATTTTTTTGCTGATGTATAACTTATTTGGCTGATAAGCAATATCGTCATATCGACTTTTTCCCCACCTAAGTCTAGTGATCATATCTCTTCTGTAGTCAAATTAGCATCATATAATGCATCATACTCCTATCGTGATGGCCCACCAGCAGATGGAGACATGAAATACAATGTTTTTCAGTGTATGTAATATTCATTTATTATGCAAAATAAGAAAAAAGCATATTGGCTGATTCTGGTAGTTCATTTTAAAGCCAATATTGGCTGAAACCGATGATGTACCGATATTATCAGCATGTTGGTCGATTCAAATACTTCATTTACTGATACTGATGACATGCCGATATTTTCATGCATCCCTATCAGAATCCATTGTTTTTCCCATATATCAATGGTTTTTCTACATCATACTTTAATCCGGCTTGGTCGCCCAGATGAGGGTGTCTGATGATTAAAGACTGATATTATCATGCATCCCTAAAATTCAGCACAAATCGCACAAATTGATGGATTTTGGTGGGCAAAAGTCAAGGTCACTGTGACCTCACAGAACATGTTTTTGGCCATAACATAAGAATTGTTACACTGACAAAATTTCACACAAATGTCTATTAGGATAAAATTATAACATTTCATATCCAGCAGGTCAAAGGTCACATTCACTGTGACATCATAATGCTCTGCAAACACTTTTCTGTCGATTACTCAGTCAACGCCATAACTCAGGAACAGAAGGGGAGACATTTGGTCGGGTGCTAAATTGGTGACACTAATTTTGGATGTCCATCTTGAAGCTGTGCTGATTGTCTAAATCTTCTGTGCTGCCAGAGGCAAAATGTGTGTGAAGCATCCATGTAGAATTTGTAGCTTCTTTGCAGCAACATCCACATTTGAAGCATTGTGTACTGCCATGGCTACAAACGAGTCTAGACAGACATGGATGTAAACTGTTAACCTGACTGCTTCACATAGGCATGCAACCATGAGGCGGTAATTCTAGAAATTCTGGTTTAAGCTAGCTTTTGAACATTGCTGTGTGCGCATTGAACTGTAAGTGTGTACGAGTCTGTACAGAAGCAGCAGTGACCAAACAATACAGTTTACCTCCAGCAGGAGGCAGTACCAGTGAGCAGTTCTCTGACAGGTGGATTATGCGGAGGGGAGTGCACTTCCCTCCCTCCAGACCGCCTGCAGGACTCCACTGACGGGGCATGTGTATGTACTGATGTGCTGCCTCAGCGCTGGACTATAAGAGGCTTTGAGAGACGGGTTTAGGAGCTAGCATGGATTCCACTCTCTGACTCTCCATCTTTCTCCATCTGTTATCGTGTCTCTTTCACTCTGTCTCTAATTGTTTCATTTACATGTGACCAGACCTGTTGATTATCAGACGCTGAAATGGAGGTAGGAGGCTAAATGATGAAGTTGAATTTTTGTGGGTGATCATGCGATATTAATAGTCATAATTGTTGCTGTTAATGTGTTTGCTGTAAAGTTAAAGTAGAGAACATTTATTTTTTAGAGACAAAAGCATTTTTCATTTTCATTTTTCATTTTTCAAACCATGTACTGGGATTGTAATATTATTATACAATGTTTATTTACAGTGTTGGTATGTGTCATAGCAATATAACAAGTCTAAAACGCAATTGAATTATTGCTTTCTTGTCTGAAAATGAAATATTGCTGTACAGTAGTAGGTAACCAGTTACATCACATGCTTTATTTTAGTGTGAGGCGTGTACATCGGTTAACATGTTGACCTGCACTTCATTTCATGAGGAAATTACTCAGCAATGAAAGTACTTTTTTCCCTTTTTCTACTTCTGTAATTTATTGACATTGTTATAGGTTCATTATTCAAAGTGGTGAACTTAAATGGAATGTTAAGGTCAGGTTTATGTGAGGCAAACATTTACACAGACTGTTAAGATTAGTGAAGGAAAGTTAACCAGCTTCTGTGTCAGCTTCTACTTACTGTGAGCAGGTGGTGGCAACATAATCATCGTTTTAAGGTGGACAAAGTGTAAATGACATGAGACCCTGTGACACCCTGTTTTGTGTCAATATTTAAACTGGGCAATATGGCATATAAATAATATCTCAATATTTTATGCTTTGTCCCTTTGATGCATTTGATCATACCAAGTGGCCGTCTCCAGGGTTTAAAAATGAAGCCAATGTGAAAGTGCCAAAAACTGCAGTTCACTGAGTGGTCACTTGGGGATAGCTCTAAAAGCAAGTCAATCCCCAAAGACACCCATGTTAAAATGCCCAACTTTACAGCAGAAATAAACCATAGATCGTATATTAAGATGGAGGATGTGTCTCAGCTTACATCCACTGTACAAAAATGAACCCAAAATGTCTTGGAAATGGCTGCTGCCATCCAGAGTCTGTGCAGTACCGATCTGGGCCCATCCAACCAATCGCAAACAGAGCCACTGATTGCAAGCACACCGATTAACACACATAGCTGTCAATCGTGATGCCAACTCCCCATTTTTATGGCATCAAATAACTAATTAAACCAAACTTAAAAGAAAAAGAAACAACTGAACATACAGCAGCATGATAAGAAATCCTTAAAATGAGAGAAACCATCTTTAAAAAAAATGTATTTAGTTTAGCACATGCAGGGGCGGGGTTTATGACCATGCTTTAGCTACCCACTAGGGGGCAATTGAGATGTTTTGGCTTCACTTTTGGGGAGCTGTCAGCTGTACAGAGGAATCATTTTTACAAAACTCATCTGTTTAAATGTTATTTAGGCTTAAAATTATGCATAATTAAGGGCATAGCCACTTTGAGACAAGTTGTACTGGTCAGGTAACATAACCTTGGTGTAGATTCACAGAGTTTAGGTGTAGCCGTAGCTGTCACTATTTGAGTGTGTTTTCGGTTCATTAAAGTTATTTGTAATGCTTTAGTCACATAAAAAATTCTAATTCTGTTGTCCTAAAAGATGCTTTAAGGGGTGGGGCATTTAGTTTTTTTGGTAAGTACTTCTTTTTTTTTTAATAGCAAAAATTAGCATTAGCATTAGTGTTATCACAGTTAACTTTAAGTAAACTAATTTGAATTTGCCTCCAGATGATAGACAGGTTCTAAGATCTTCCTCCGTTTTGAATTGAAGTAAACTTAGGACAATGAATAATGGTAAATCGATGGATCTGGTAGCAGTTTAGCTTTTAGCCATGCTTTTATCACTTCAATTCAAAGTTCTGGATTATATGAATTCTACTTGGATAGTGTAGCCAAATATTCATTCATGAAGTGGTTTTAACTATTACATTTATTATTCCATGGGTGTGTTTTTGGAGTAGAATTGTGAATAATATCTCAAGCTGCACTAATGAGTCAAATGAAATTTGTTATACAACAGCTACATCTGCACACTGTTTTATATGTTGGTGTTTATGAAAGCTGTGATCTGTATTTCTGCTTGCTAGAGCAGAAAGTGCATCTTATGGTTCATTACCGTTGTGTGTTTCTTTAGGCTTTATAGGTTGTGTGTGTGTAAGCCTGTGTGTCTGTGTTTACCTTCACAAGTTTCTTTGTGTAGGTAATTAGAAAACATTCAGTCTCTGTGGGAGACTGAGTCCATTCTCTCAGCTGCTCTAAAACATTGTGCACAGAAGGCACCAGGACTGATTTCATACTCATGTGTGCAGTGTTGGGAGGGTTGCTGCTAAAATGTATTACACTGCAGATAACTGAACATAGCCTAAAATGTGATTTGTAAAGTATTTCATTAGAATACTCAAACTGTCCTAAATACTTTGGATTACTTGTGGAATACTTCTTAACTGCACTTAAAATTGTCTTGCCTTGCTCATTTGTCTGGGTCTTATTCTTACATGCCAAAAAACAGGCCCCCAGTAAAGCCACCCAGCCTTGCAGTCAATCTTTCCCAGTGGCCACCAGCGGTATTGCAGCAAAAAAAACATCCCCCACTGCCCAAAAATAATTTTCCCCATAGGTCACCATTATAAAATAGACATCTGTAAAACTGTTGACAGGACACCTCGAACTGCAAACAAGGCCAGTTCTGACTCTTTCTATTACAAATTTTTGTGCCATGTTTTATATTTGTAAAATGTACACACGTCCTATTCTTGTGAATACAATATCTCATGAATGCCTTCAGGCAATTATTTAAACTTTGGCGCAAACGTCCACTTTGACTCAGCAATGAATTGATTAGATTTTGCTGGTCAAAGATCAAAGGTCAAGGCCACTTCCTGTTTTTGTGAACACGATCTCAAGAACACCTTTAGGGGAATTTCGTCATATTTGGTACAAACATCCACTCGGACTCAACAATGAACTTACTAGAATATTGTGGTCAAAGGTCACTCTGACCTTACAAAACATGTTTTGGCCAAAAGTAATTCGGACAAATTTCACACTAATATCCAATGAGACAAAATTATGAGGTGATGACATTTTCTTTTAAAGGGGTCAACGGTCAACTTCACTGTGACATCATAATGTTCTGCAAAACACTTTTCTGACCATTATTCAACGTCATATCTCAGGAACAGAAGGGGAGACATTTGGTCAGATACTGAAATAGTGACACTAATGTGTCTACCTTGATTGTAATAATAATAATAATAAATTTTATTTGTTGGTGCCTTTCTGAGCACCCAAGGACACCTTACAATAAAAACATACAAAAATACCAATAATACAACATTAAAAATAGATAAAATACATGACAGAAAATTAAACCGGATAGGCAAGCCTGAACAGATGGGTTTTAAGCTGTGATTTAAATTGTCCAATGGAGTCAATCTGATGGATATGGGGGGGCAGAGAGTTCCAGAGTCTGGGTGCAGAGCAGCTGAAGGCTCTGCCACCCATAGTGGTCAGTTTGAAATTAGGGACAGACAGAAGAGCAGCTGAGGAGGAGCGTAGAGCAAGGGTGGGGGTGTAAGGGTGGAGAAGGTCTGACAGGTACTGGGGGGCCAGGTTATGGAGAGCTTTGAATGTGAGGAGAAGGACTTTATATTGGATTCGCTGATGGACAGGTAGCCAGTGGAGCTGAATGAGGATGGGGGTGATGTGGTCGGTGGATTGTGTAGATATGTGCTGCCGGGGGGATGATGTGAGTGAAGCATCCATCAGGCAAATGCAGGCAGTTATTCTAGTTACTTGATGTATGTTCTCAGCTGTGTTACTGAGTCATCGATTCAGATTCATATGCATCATCCATTCAGGCAACCATCAAAAGCTTTGGTATGTTATTACAGACCATCGATTGGTTGGCTTTTAATTTATTAAATCTCTCTCTCTCTTTGCTTCCCATAGGATGTCATTACTCAACATCAGTATGAAGCAGTCATTACAACCTGTACAAATAGGTAAAGAAGAGCACCTGAGGAGCCTAAATAAATATTCAGTACTGTGGACACATGGAGCACGCGATACAAGCCAAGAATAGATCATTTCAGAGACAAGCCTGACAGATCCACCCCTAGCCTCAGCTCATTCACATTTCCTTTTTCTACATTGTGGCTGTAAACAAATCACTCTGCCTCCCTGGTTCAAAGACTTCCCAAGTCTCCCCTCTCATCTGTGCCACAGGAACCCCACAGTGCCCCTCAGAGGGGAAATGCCCATCTTGCTTAATGCCGACGCCTCCTTCAGCTCCAAGCAGGAGCTCCTGGACCTTCAGGATTGCCCTCTCAGCGGGGGCCCCTGCGTGGACACCCCCAGCCCCCCAGATTCTCAGACAGACAGCCCCATAGGCTCAGGTCCCAGAAGCCTTGACAGCCCCGGAGCTGATGGCCCTGTTCGGCCCCCAATTTTTACTGGGGCTTCCACACTCCCGGGGCAGCTGTATGGGGTGGAAACAAGACCTCATGCAGAGACTCCATTGGGGTTGAAGCTGATCTCCAGTGATTCAGATCAGCTATACGGCTGGGGGGCTTTGACACCCAAAGCTATCCAAGTTTTTAACACCCCTCGTTGGGTGCTGTTCTTCCTTTGTGTAGCCTCTTTTCTCCAGGGGATGATAATCAACGGCTTCATTAACACAGTAGTCACCTCCATTGAGAGGCGGTTTGACCTGCGCAGCTATCAGGCCGGCCTCATTGCCAGCTCCTACGACATTGCCGCCTGCGTCTGCCTGGCTTTCGTCAGCTACTTCGGAGGGACGGGACACAGACCTCGCTGGCTAGGATGGGGTGTGCTGATCATGGCGCTCGGTTCTCTAGTGTTTGCCTTGCCTCACTTTACCACACCCCCCTACCAGGTCAGTCTGCCCGAGAGAACAGGAATGTGCTCTGCCAACCGTACCAGCCCGTGCCAGGACAAGGAGGGTGGAGGATTGTCAAGCTATCGTTTTGTGTTCATGCTGGGCCAGTTTCTACATGGTGTGGGTGCTACACCTCTCTACACCTTAGGGGTCACATACCTGGATGAGAACGTCAAGTCCAACTATGCGCCTGTTTATATTGGTGAGTAATTCACTTAGTACAGCATGTTGCTGTTGAGTTTAATTTGTTTGATGTGGTAGTCATTCACTGACAGTAGAGATGATTTTAGTGATGTTATTATATTACTAAAATAGTAATCACCTCTCCAGAATTGGCCACATTTTTTTTTGCATGTTGTGTGCTCATTAATTAGTGTGTTTCTGTCTCAAAATGTGACATAGATTTGATAGACAATTTGTTTTAGTCCAAAATTGTGGTTTAAAAAACTTGATTTTGAAATTGCAAAACATTTAACTTAATGTATAACAAATTTCAATAACAAATGTGACTACATATGTAGGACAATATAAGTGTGTGAGTGGTGCTTGGTAAAAATCCTATTTAAGACTATACCAGAACCAGAACAATAGGTTTGGAGTTTGTAGTAATAATACCAGTAATCGCAATTGGATATTTTCACATTATATTTACACTGACAGTCACATTAGCTCTGTAAAACAAATTGCATCACTAACCAGTGGCTGTTGAGTTTGGCTATATTTCCTCACTTGTTACTGTTCTCAGTACACTGCTCAGACACTAAGAATTGGTTTAGCTCATACAGTGAGAATTGTTAAGACCTCAAGAGAAAAGTTGTGTGCTTGGGTGTTTTGTGTGTTTGTTCAGACTCAGCTCATACTGACAGCTAGGCTATGTAGTGCAGGCACTGATTTCTCTCTCTCTGAATGTTAAAGGGATAGTTCAGATCTGTTGAAGTGGGGTCATACGTGTTACTTGTCCATAGTCAATTTATTACATACAGGAGATGTCAGTTGGCGGGCCTGACTTTGGAGAAGCAGGCAGGAGTGCTGCCATGGAAGCTTAGCGATGTACTGCTGTGGACAAGGGGCAGCAGCAAAACATATTTTAGCCATGTAAAAAAACGTCCACCCTAAAATAGTGAATAACAGTATACGCTATATTGAGAATATTCTCACCACTTTACCTTGTGGCAGACAGCCCTTACTGACAGAAAAGCCATTAATGGATTCAGTTCCTCAACTACACTCTTTTCAAAGCCACCAGACTCCATTGAGAAAAACAGTCATTTTAGCACACCGAACATGGGAGCTGCTGGTCTACCTCAGCCAGAGTTCAGCAATATTAAATTACTGTTTTTCTCGATGGAGTCTGGCTTTGAAGAGAGCAATATAATGGCTTCAGTTCCCCGCTGGAAATCACTGTCTAACAGTAAGATTAAGCCATGAAAATATTCTAAATATAGGGTAAACTTAATAAACTGAAATTGTTTGTGTTTTTTAGGTGGGACTTTTTTGAGGTGGCTAAAATTCATTTTGCTACTGCCCCCCCGTCCACAGCAGTACATTGCTTAGCTCCCATGTCATACTCCTACCTGTTTCTCCAAACTTGGGGCGTGCTGACTGTTATCTGCTGTATGTAATACACTGACAATGGATAAGTACCCTATACAGCTCCACCTCAGAAGATCTGAACTATCCCTTCAATTATTTTGAATGACTGCACAGAATAATGTGAATACAATATGCAAATAGCAGGGCTTGGAAAAATGCCCCCTGTATGTCTTTGTAATATTTCAGTCCGTATTTGCAACAGAAATGCAGTTGTGTGTGTTATTTGCATGAATGTGAATGGAGATCTTTGTTTGCTGATGTTGACCTGTGGTCAAATTGTTACAATCCTGGTTGCATCACACTCTTTTCCTCTTTACTTGTTTTTATTGTTTATAACTTTGATCAAAGTGCTTTATGTTGTGAATTAGTTGAATACAAGGGACATTTTCCCTCTAGGATCAAAAAAAGTACTTGTGTGTCTCTCTAATGACATCTTAATATGACTCCAGTTAGCAGAAGACAATTACAGTACACTGTTGTAACCTCTGTTACTGAAACACTGGAAACAGATGAAAGAGCGTATTGTGTAGAAATAACCAAGCATGCCTTCTGTGCATCGTACACAAACATACAGTCAGTGGAGCTGCTAAATCTCTCTTTTGCTGTCACGTCCAATTTCTCATCAGTAATATTCATTACTGTATTGCCATAAACAGATCAAGTGCTGGTCAAAACCCATCTTCAATATTCAGAATCCACTGTGGACACAGTCTCAAAAAGCACACAAACATACACACAGTTCCTCACATCAAGCTCCTGTTTTCTCATGAAACATTAACTGTGTGGACACAGAGCCCAGTGAAGAACAATGGGGCCCTTTTAACCTGTAGGAAACAGGAAGTAGACAGTCACTGTATTGACACACCCATGGCCTGGCTCTGTTTCTGTGCTCTCTCTCCCCGCAGGGATTTTCTACACAGCAGCCATTGTGGGTCCGGCAGCAGGCTACCTGCTGGGAGGATACTTTCTCAACATTTACACCGAGATCCACCTGACGTGAGTCTGCTTTGGATGGCAGAATGGATGAGAACAGACTAGAACACAGTAGAATGAACAAACTAGAGTATATTAGAATAGAACAGACTGGAGTATGATAGACTAGAACATACTAGAATAAAAAATACTGAGTATGATAAAAAAAAAAGGACAAACTAAAATATAAAAAAAGTATAATGAAATACAACAGGCTGCAGTTAAAGAAAACAGGAGTATAATACAACCCTGATTCCAAAAAGGTTGGGATGCTGTGTAAGACGTAAATAAAAGTAGAATGCTATGATTTGTAAATCCTTTCTTGATGATTTGATATATTCAGTGAAATACAGTACAGAGAGATATTTAGTGTTCAAACTGATAAACTTCATTGTTCTTTGTAAATATATGCTCATTCTGAATTTGATGCCTGCAACACATTCCAAAAAAGTTGGGACAGGGTCATGTGCTGCATCACCTTTTCTTTTAACAACACTCAGTTTGTGTTCAAGAACTAAGGTTACTAATTGTTGAAGTTTTGGACTGAAATTTCTTCCCATTCTTGCTTAATGTACAACTTAAGTCAACAGGTTTTCATTGCTGTATTATGCCGTTCATAACACGCCAAACATTTTTAATGGGAATCAGCTCTGGACTGCAGGCAGGTCAGTCTAGCACCTGCACTACTACAAAGCCACATGTGTCTCATGTATTGCTGGAACAAGCAGGGATGTCCTTGCAGAGATTTCTCAGGATTCTCTGATTCTTTTGTTGATATGGACTGTAGATGGTGAAATCCCTAAATTCCTTCCAATTGTGCTTTGAGAAACGCGGTGTTAAAACTGTTTGACTCTTTGCCCACAGTTTTTCACAAAGTCACCATTTTTGCTTGTTAACAAATGAGCATTTCAAGGATGCTCCCTTAATGCCCAATCATGGTCCTATCACCTGTTACCAATCAACCTGTTTAACTGTGGAATGTTCCTAACAGGTGTTTTTTAAGTATTCCCCAACTTTACTAGTGTTTTGTTGCCTCTGTCTCAACTTTTTTGGAATGTGTTGCAGGCATCAAATTCAGAACAAGTGTTTATTCACAAAAAAGCAGAGTTTATCACTTTGATCATTGAATATCTTGTCTTTGTTCTGTATTTAATTGAATTTAGGTTAAAAAAAAGATTTGCAAATCATTGCATTATGGTTTTTTTTTTCATTTTACACAGCATCTTACTATTTTAGAACTGGGACTGCAAACTAGAAAACACTAGAATATAGAATAGAACAAACAAGTATAATAGAAAAGACTGTACTTTAACAGACTTGAAGTATTTAAAGTAGAATAGAATAGAATATACATTTCCCACCATAGAGACAAAACATGGTTAAGCCCCGCCCACACCAGAGAGGAAACCAGATTATCCCTCTCCATTGACCTTATTTTGCATAAAGGTACCACATGTCACCTCCATCTGCTAGCAAATAACAAAAAATGCCTAAAAGCTGCTGTGCAGTGGGATGCACTACCAACAGGGGGAAGAACCAAGAACAAACGTTTTATTAGCTGCCAAACCAAAAAACTGAGCCTTAGAGAAGACAGACAGTCAATATGATGTTGGGCGTCAGCAGGAAAAATAGGTAAACTGTGGGATCCTGACACCAATAAATAAGTTACAGTTGCTAATTTGGCCTGACAAACTGTGGAGGCTGAAGCTAATTAAGCTATGCAAGGTCTGGTTTTGATCTTTGTTAGGATAGATGATGATCTCACCTGCTGATTCGATCAGCTGTGTTTCACTTCTGGCCATTTAGTGGGATCATTTCCACAAGATTAGGAGGGACACTGAGAAAGACTGACAATATTGCATTTGTGACTATACCTTTTGATAAAATGACGTGATGAAATGCTTAAATCTAATGTTTTTATCAAGCTAGAAGAATTCTGTCAATCTTTCAGACCCTGGTTGCTTATTTTGGTGCTGTTTTCTTGTCTGGTGGGCATGGTTTACAGAATATGACGCATTACGCTTTTAGGATGTAATGGACAAGCATTTAGAGGTCAGTTTCAATAAATGCCTAGTGATTCATATGCTGTGTGTGGTTGTGTGTGTGTGTTTGTGTGTTGTCACAGGACAGAGATGACTCCAGAGAACCCTCTGTGGGTTGGGGCTTGGTGGATCGGCTTCCTAGCAGGAGGAGCAGCAGCTCTGCTGGTAGCATTCCCCATCCTGGGCTACCCACGACAGCTTCCAGGTACCACTCCTGTTCACTTCACACACACACACACACACACACACACAGGCCAATCTCGCTCCCCTACAGCTTTCATGTTGCAAGACAAAAAGCATAAACAATATGTATTTTAAATAGAGGTAGAAATTGGAATGGTGATAGCAAATGTCACTCACAGTCTCAGTTACACTCCCTCTGTCTCTTCCTGCAGGCTCTCAGGAGTACGTGGCCATGCGGGTGTCTGAGGCCCACCAGCTGAAGGATGGAAGCCACACCACAGCCTCAGACCCTCAGTTTGGCAAATCAGTCAAAGACATGCCAAGGTACTTTCATAAGAAGAGGACAGTAGGGAAGGTGTTTTGGATACAGTACAAATCACAGACAGACATTAAGGGTAGGAATCAACAGAGGACCCAGGACAGATGTTATCAGGATACTTCGGTCGCAATGCGATATTATTGCAATATGCAGAGTATTGTGATAAAATATATTACGATATATATCACAATTCATTACTTTTTATTCCAACTGCACATCACATGCAGGTATCACATTAACTAAATCGGTCCACATATTTACGGATCTCTGTACGCATTTGCAGATCGTTGTACACATTTACAGATCGTTGTACAGATTTACAGATCGCAATACACTTGCAAATCTGAATACAGACTTGTAGATTTTTTTTTACACATTTACATATTTGATTATGCACACACAGATTCTAAATACACATTTGCAGATTTTTATATGCATTCACAAACTTTATTACGCTTTTACAAATTATTTTACACATGTACAAATCTGATTACGCACACACAGATTGAGATACGAATTTGCAGCTATTTTGCTACCATAATGGCCCCATACTCCAGAGCCTTCCGTAACAGATACGCAGGACTTCTATTTTTGCCGGATGCCAGAGCACAACGCAACAATTCAGCACAGAGCAGATTGTGCAGGGCAGGAAGTCATGCACAGAAACAAAATAAAACATCTGGTTAATTTTCAAAATAAAATACAGTGTTCACGGTGGATTTCCCTGCACTACTAATTCAATTCACTTTGACTCAACAATGAACTGATTAGATTTTGGTGGTCAATGGTCAAGGTCATTGTGACCTTGCGTCCGTCTCATTCTCAGGAACGCGATCTGCAGAACTTCTTGAGAGAATTTCATCATGACTGAATGACTAAAATTTGATGCTCAAAGGTCAAGGTAGCTGTGACCTCACATGTTTTTGGCTGTAACTCAAGAATTCATATGCTGATTGTGATAAAAATTTCACACATATGTCTAATAGGATAAAACAATGAAGTGATGACACTTTGGTTGCATGGTTGGTAGTGGTTAAAACTGTCACCTCACAGCAAGAGTGTTCCTGGTTCGAACCCGCGAGGGAGCCCTTCTGTGCGGAGCTTGCATGTTCTGTGTCAGCGTGGGTTTTTATCCGGGTACTCCGGCTTCCTCCCACAGTCCAAAGACATGCAGGTTAATTGATAACTCTAAATTGTCCGTAGGTGTGAATGTGAATGTGAATGTGAATGGTTGTCTGTCTCTATGTGTCAGCCCTGTGATAGTCTGGTGACCTGTCCAGGGTGTACCCTGCCTCTCACCCAATGTCAGCTGGGATAGGCTCCAGCCCCCCTGTGACCCTCAAGAGGATAAGCGGTTACGGAAATAAATGAATGACATTTTATATCCTAAAGGTTAAGGTTTTACTTGACGTTTTGTCTTGACGGATATGTGAGGACGAGTGCCATATACAAATTATACTGGCTGACGTGACATTGTGGTGGTGTTTTTTCTATCCTTTGCTCTGCACATCCTATGACTGTTTGTAAACTGGAAACCTTTATATTATGAATGAAACAGGCATGCATAACAATTATCTTTCCTGAGTAGTCCTTCCATCAACAGATTCAAAAATAAAGCAAATAAATGTCACATTCCCAGACAATCTCTTTTTAGACAGGCATGTTATGGCTGCAGATGAGTGACAGCCATGCCTCTTTTCAGTTCACAACTGTGTTTACTATGAGCTCCACATCCACAGTGTGATGTCAGCGCTGTTACACTGGGGATTATAGAGACAGAGTAAGTCGATAATCAAGGCATATTATGTAACATGATGAAATATCTTTAGATCTAGTGCAGTGTTTATCTGTATTAGGAGCGTCTCCAGGCTGTTGAGATTAGAGCCGCCTGGTTTAATTAAAAAGGGAGCTAAAGTGTATTCAGTTAGTGTTGCCCCTGACTCTCCCCTCTCGTCCTCTCTCCAGGTCTGTGCTGCTCCTCTTAAAGAATCCTACCTTCCTGTTCCTGTGCATGGCTGGCGCTACTGAAGCCACCCTCATCGCTGGCATGTCCACCTTTGGCCCAAAGTTCTTGGAGTCACAGTTCAGTCTCAGTGCATCAGAGGCCGCTACATGGTTTGGTGAGTGATTACATGATGCAAAGTCCAAAGCAAACCCTAATGGCTGATCAAATGTATTTCAAAGACATCTCAGCTCAGTATATTTTATATACTTTTCATCCACGGTGAGAAATAAGACAGACTTTTGCTACTTTGGAGCTGTTGAAGACATTGAATATCTATAATTCAGCACCTTTTCACTTCATTTCAGTGTTGTCTGGTTCTGGTTCTGACTGTAACCATTATATTGAAATATCACTAACGCAGCATATTTGAAAAATGTATTTATTTTGAGGTGCATGTTTTACCATTTGTTGTTGCTTTATTTTAAATTTTAAAACCTGGTTTCCTCTGATGGCAACCAAAAGCCAAGAATAGGTTACCATCTATCAAGTCCTGGTAACAGTTAGCAGGTAACAAGCAGGTAAATGGGTAACAAAACTCCATGCAGCAATGGGTATGTTTACGTGCACACCAACATTCCTCTATTATTCTGAAAGTATTCTGATTTTGGTACAGGTCGTGTAAACAGCATATTTCCAAATTAGGCCTTCTTTTGAAAGAAGCATTTTCTGATTAAGAAGTGGGATATATGCCAACATTATTCTTTGAACATATACATAGACTCACCAGCAGTTTGTAAGACTGGAATAGAGATGCATGCCCAAAAGAAAAGCCCACATTTCTGGTTGGAATGAGAAACACTCCTACTTTTAAATATTATGAAAGACTTTGATATCAGCTGGTTTTTGGCAGTGTGCAAATATCACATTGCTGACGTTTTCTAGAAGGAATGAAAGAGGGAGGCTGTGTTTGCACAGTCAAGGAAGTCTGCCACTGGTGAAATGCTTTGACAACAACCTGGTCCAAGTGATAACCCTTCCACTTTTCCATATTTTGACATGATGAACTGCACATTAGTGCATGTGAAGTCTCCTACAGACTGTGAGATTTTAGCAATCTTACAAGTTCAGTGCAGCTACACTGTGCGACATGGATCTAATACACTTGGATACAACATCACGTTTGATGTATGCAGACTGTATGATGACAGCGCCTACTGAATTGCAGGCTACAATATACGATGCAGTAGCTTCACATACTGAGTGTGAAAGAGTGCTTCACAGGTCATTACTTCTCCAACTGTGATGCACAACATAGAGGGGCACATTATGAAATAACCTAAAGTTTTCTGGGTACTATATCCTGTGGTATTTGCTGGAATCACACATATTTCTTTTAGCACATTTTGCCTCCATAGCAAGCTGCTCTCTGCCTGTTTGTTTGGGTTTAGCACCAGTGTGTCATTTAATGCTGCATTTCTATTGGTTGGTTTGTAGATGTAGGTTGTATCAGTAGTCACACAGTGTGATGGTCATCCCAAATTTCTGACAGTCAGAATTTTATCCCAGACTGTCTTTGATCACAAGAATGTAACAACGGCCGTTCTTGAACCTCTCTCACTGTGCGACATAGGACCACCTTTTTAGAGCCACGACCAAAGATATTGTCACGGTTCTTTCACATTGGTCATCTTTTGTTTGGGACAGCCTAAAATCACACTGTGTATACCAGGTTTAAATCGGACTATATATGGCTGCATGTAAACAGGAATATTAGTGGAATATTCATTTTCATTAGCTGTGTAAACAACTTTAAATATTGTCTTTTTTGAAAAAAGGGAAAAACAAAATATTTTGTGCTTAATGTCTGATGATGATCTGACATTGAAACAGAGGAAAGGGACCAGTACATGTGGAGAGTGGCTGGCAAGAGATGCAGGTGCACAAACACCCCAGTATATCAGAGCTGATTAGGGAAGTGGGAACAGGTGTGTGTGTTTGAATGGCAAGAGAGTCTGAGGGTATCTAGTGGATGGTTTGAGAATGGCAGATCTGGGGAGTGAGAGGAGAGTACACGGCCTGAGGGAAGTAAGCAGAGGCTGGAGACAGGGACAGAGAGCCAGGTCAGGCTAAACAACCAATCAACTTCAAAGTCCATGAAAGCTCTAGGTCTTTGGTCAAGTAACCACTTGTGATGTCAAGAGCAAACTAGTGACTTTTTTCTGTTGAGAAAAGAGTCTTATGCAATGACTTATGTAACATGTACTTTTACTGAATTTACTGTCATTCTAAATGGCAGTGTATAGCCATACCTATTTTTTTATGGACTCTAAGAGATGGAAATTAAGTGAGGCTTCACATCTTAGTGTTTCACTATCTTTAAACGATGAATTCATCTCTAACTGACCAAACCATAGCATGGCTCTGTCATGAGATACAGCATCATCAGTCCAAGCTGCAGGAAAACCTGAGCAGTGTTCACATTGAAAACAATTCATCCCTTTTTGATCTGATGGTGGGGCTTAAAGAAAGGTAATCAAATACATTAGAATCCATCCTTTGGAGGCCATAAATATACTCACAACAAATTCCAAGAAATTCTGACTGTTTCAAGACTTTCAAACATTTTTTAAGGTGCATTTTCCTTCAAGGGCTTTCGAGTGGAGCTTCAGCCTGACTGCATGCTATTCTTCTCCCCTCCCCCCCAGGATACATGGTGGTACCAGCAGGTGGTGGGGGCACCTTCCTGGGCGGCTATATTGTGAAGAGGCTGAACCTGCGCTGTCGAGGCATTATCCGTTTCTGCATGATGTGTGCGATGGTCAGTCTGCTTGCCATCTTCATCTTTCTCCTCCACTGCCCCAATGTGCCCATGGCTGGTGTCACAGCACCGTACCAGTACGACCTGATGGAGAAACACCAGCTGGACCAGTACAAAGAGCTGTATGACAAGCCCAGCAAGCTGCGCCTTAGAAACAGGTGAGCAGTGTCTACGTTAGCACCTATTGTTGATTTGTCTTTTTAAATTAAAATGTGTTTTAATTTCAGTTACATATTTGGAAAAGATGCAGTAATTTTCAGTTGACTTAGATCTGATGAAACATTTAGATAGTATAAATTTCTGTGTTTATTTCTAACTATAGCCTTAACACAAAAGTCCATCTGAAAGTCACATTAATGTTACATCCACAGCCTTTTCAGGGATGCAAACAGGTGTATGGTCAAAAAAGAGAGAGCTTGTTTAAGCAAAATTCTGAATATTAAAATACACTAACAATAATTTGGAAGAAGGCTGTGTATTACAAAACAGAACAAATCCATTGAGCAACAGTGTTTCCCCTATATGCAACTAGCAACGGTGGTGCTCCGCTGCTGAAATATGACCACTGCTGCTGATTTATTTATTCATTTTTTTCTTAGCTCGTAAGAAACTACCGTTATATTATTTGGCGCTATGGACGCTTCATATCCAGGTCAATTCACACACTTGTGAGTAAAGCATATAAGAGTAGAGGAGAGGGCTCCGTCTTATCTCTTCATAAACTAAAGTTATATAACATAACAATATACTATTTATCGTGTTATACGGTGAAACGTTTCACCTTATAATGTGATGACTTATAAAGTTTACATGACGGCATGTCATTTCTGTCTCTACATGGTCACCTTTACAATCCTCCTCTGCTCTCTGTATCGCGCACAGCGGAGTTCGGCCCCGATGCGCACACAGACACGTGCACACACACACACACACACACACACAGGTGAGCACACAAGACCGCGGCTTGGCGCGCATTTTTCTGACTGGACTAACAACTATAAACGGCACTGTGCACACAGTCAATGGAGCGGAGCCTGTGTTGCGTTCGGGCGTTGTCAGGTAAAGAAAAAATTCCAACACTTAAATAGGCTGTAGCACAACACAGCAACATGTCGAACCGAATCTGACCCAATTTTTTTGATTTTTTTCAGCATAGACATCTGCTCATTTTGTTTGTGTTAGTGGAATTATTAATCAGACTCTTCCACGTCCACGCCAGCCCCCCCACCAAAAAAACTCCTCAGATCTACACGATTCACACAAGATACCTAAATTGATATGAAAAAAGTGAGAGTCGCACCGAAAAGCGAGCTGTTTGCATCCATGCTTTTACAATGTTGTGTTAGCTTTAGCGGTAACGTTAGCTTAAATGCAGCGTGCAGGCCTGCATATTTTGGTGGTTTGTTCCAGCTGTGTTGCTGCCTTGTACAGTAGTGACTGAGTATGAGAAATCATGAGCAAGCAAACCAAGGACAATAAATTTTAAATTTCTGCTAAATTTTATCTTTGCACTCTCTCTCTCCATTGTATTCTCTGTCTATTTCTCTCCTTTTTCCTTTCCTCTCCCACCCACCTTTCCTCCTTGTCATCTCTGTCCCTCCTTTACCTCGTGTCTGCAGCTCTTATTTAGAGGAGAACCTGACAGTGGGCTGTAATGCAGGCTGTAGTTGTGTCAGAGAGCTGTACAACCCGGTGTGCGGGGCAGACGGTGTGATGTATTACTCCCCCTGCCACGCTGGCTGCAGCTCCATCAACCACACCGAACACTCCACAGGCAAACAGGTACAGTACAAACAGTTTTCCTGTCATTTGACTCTGACTGGAGGGAAATTACGGTACACTTGATTTACTTGGATCTGAGGCAGTTTGGGCCCTTAAGAGTACTTCAAAACAAGAGCACTGAAGGAAGAAAGCACAAAGCCGTAAGACTGTAAATACAGGTGACTGTATATCCTCAAAATATTATGTGGTATTTCCTCCCATATATTTAAGCAGGGCTGGGCAATATATGGCCATTACATGGATATTGTGATATGAGACTAGACATTGTCTTAGTTAGTTTTTTGATGTTGTGATATCATAAGTGTTGTCTTTTCCTGCTTTTAAAGGCTGCATTACTGTATAGTGTTGTAATTGTCTGAACTTATCAGATTGCTTTATCTGTTCAATCATTTGCTTTCACCTACTTAGTCATCCACATTACTCAGGATTATTTATCAAAGATCCAATTGTGTAAATATTTTGTGAAGGCACCTGTAGTCAGCCCCACAATATCCATACTGTGGTATTTGGTCATAAATATTGTGAGGCTCCCTCTCCTGCAGAAAAAAAATCCTCTCCTCTCTGTCTCAAGACATGTTTTAAACGTCCCAACAAAAGGTGTTGACAAGCAGTGGGGCATTCAAATGAATTCAATGCAGTTATAGTCATTTATATAATCAGTGTCAGTGGTAAGTGAAAATGCAAAATTTTGCAGCGGAGGCACTCATTTGCATTACAGGCATAGTCTGAGGCATTTCAGTGCAAAATAAACAAATGGAGCACCTGTTCTTTCCAAATGATCAATCTCTTGGTACACTCACAACGTATGAGACAATATAATTTCATGATATTTTGGCTAAATGTTATTCAGCTTTACTCATCATATCAAAAGCACAGAGCCCTTAAGTTTGTTCAAATGCACACAAGTGTCCTTGTTATGTTAAGTCTTGTCCTGTTATAATCATATTTGGGATATAGTTGTAAAACGACCCAGAAATAACAAGCAGCAGCCCAGTGATAGATAATTATTACATCATTGCCACACAGCATTGTGGGACCCAGATTTTCTGACTCCTAATTGTACTCTGTCTCATCAGTCTGTAGACTTTATTTGTGTCCATGTTGGTCCAGTATAATGTAAGTGCAGGATGATTATTCCTCTGTCATAGCTTGGTAGGTGAATTGTGCCTTTTTATTGCATTTTCATATTTATATCCATTCTGTGTCCCAACATTGTCTCTGGCAGACTTTAAACCGTGGACACTGAGGTGAAGCAAAAACATAGGGTGCAGCAGTCGGGTCAGCTCTGTTCGTCTGTGAAGTGGTGCAGTAATATAGAGTTCAGGTGCAAAGTAGCCTAATTATTAGACTAGGAAGTGCTTACAACAAGTCAACAACCTGATCCGCCCCTATGCTCATTACACAAAGCAACAGGGGGCATGCCTGAATTGATGAGATTGCATAATTGTTTCCTAAATGCTCTGTTTTACATGTATACAAAGAAGCAGTAACTGAAGTTGAGGCGTTTTGAAAAATCTCACTTTTAGTGCGTGCAGACGAGACGCTAAAATGTTATAGAAAATATCAATTTCAAAAAACATCTGCATATGTGTCAACTTTAATAAAATATGACCAGCATTCCAACTTTCTTTTGATAGTTTCCGATGTTATTTTGAGTGATGTCTAAGTTGTCACATCTGTTCCAACGTGGGCTTGGGACATCCTTACTTTTAGTTTAATTTCAGGGTGAAGATCATTACTTTTAACATAATTCTTTTTTAGTTAACTGAAACTAGCATGTGACTTGGGTTAAGGACACCCCCGGAAATATCAGTATCCTAGTTTGACTGGAAACATAACCACCTGGTTATTTATATCCCTGTAAACATGATTCTTGAAGGGTAACTTTGGTATTTTTCAACCTAGACCCTGTTTTACTAGATGTTTGTGTCTCAGTGACTACTGGGAACAAAATATTTTGAAACTCGTCCAGTATATATATAGAGAGAGAGGGCTGCAGTTGGCAGGAGCGAAACAGGCTGCTGTGTAATCACTTGGGGCAATTGCGCACTTTCAGTGTATGTCCACTAAAAAGGCTTGTGTTTGCCACAGACAGGCTCACATTATTATTGTAAATGTCAAACAGCGTTATGGAAAGTATCCTTACAGAGACAGACCTTTGTTGTAAAGAGTAAGATCCTTTTTGACCCAAAACAGCCCCAAAATTGCCATTGCCAAACCCACCAGACTCCATTTAAATAAACACTAATTTTAGTGTGTACAGAGCTGTCATATTTTCACATGTAACTGTGTAAATTAAGGGTTAATTCAACCAAACCAGAGTTGATGATTGTTGAAACAGTGGAAAGATGAGCCAAAAAGGCTTTTATAAGTTTTATCTTGTTTTTGTGGACTTAAGATAAAGTGTCTTTATGATAATTAAATTACTCTTTTTTCAAATGGAGTCTGGTGACTTTAGCAATGGTGATTTCGAGGCTGTTTCTCTCTAACAATAGAGGTCTATCTCTGTAGCGATTCCTTTCATTATGTTTTCAGACACTTAGAATAACACTGGCAACAAACAAGCACTTTTAGTTGACGTAAAGCGACGGTGTTAACATTGCAACCTGGTTTGCAGCTGCGAGCTGCACTTAAAACAGAAAAAAAAAACAAAGTAAAAAACACTAGAAACTGGACCAGTTTCAAAAAACTGTTGTTGCCATACTTACTTGGATACAAAAACCTGAGAAAATGGGGTCCAGGTTGAAAAATTCTTAAGTTGTCCTTTGAGGTGTGTTCAAACTAAATTTGCAGCGAATTTTCTTCCTGAGTTACTCGCACAAATGCAGCCGCTGGTAAGTCGGGAAACCAGACATGTAACCGGGGAAGGTAGCTCGTGTTCACCTTACTTGTTTCCTAGTAAGCTACAGCCAATAGCTGGAGTCAAGTAACAAATACATATTTTCGGAACATACCATGTAGTCTTTGTTCACTTTTCTCGAAGCCCTCTGTTTTTTGTACTGTCTTTGTACAGTACTGACACAGGGTTGTGACATCAGGAGAATCTAAACACTGATAGGCTTTCGCTACACATCAGGTGAATTTTATTTTGTTCAAGTTTTAACATTTCAGCTTGCACTGATGCATATTCACGTCTGTTTAAATCTTTGCACTGACTTTGTATTTAATCCCGCCTGTGAAAAATTCGCTTTGAGTTTGATCTGAACACATCTTACTACAGCAGCAGTGAGCTGTTAGTGAATTAACCCTGGATACCAAGAAAGTGGCAGCAGATTGCTTAGTACCATCAGTTAGGCCAGTGATGTCAGAGGCCTTCAGTGTTTTTTATATTGAACATCAACACTTACCAATGCTCTAAACATCCTCTAAACAACTTCAAGTTGGGGCCCCTGTTTCTTTGCTATTATCATTATACTTACTGATGTTATTTGGGATTGGTTAGATCTTTGTCTCTGGGTACTGGAGTTGGTCTAGTTCCTACTTTTGTGTTCTGTTTTCTGAGTCTCGCAACAAATGTTTAATTAACATTAAATATGCTGAGTCTCAGTGTGCATGACCCAGGGATCTTACAGCATTTGTTCACACTGGCACAATAAAAGATTTCCCAAAATGTCTTGTGAGAGGAAATTGCTTCATCGACTTTTCCGAGTCATGAAATTCAGATGTCAGTGTGAAAGTGGTTTCAGGAACAAACATATGCAATTGAAACTTAATATACTACAAGTTTCTCTTAAAATAATCTGATGCAATTTTGGGAAACCTTGCTGCAGAAATGTGAACATTCATGAGTTTGTTTGTTTTTTCTTAAATCTACTTCAACTCCTTAATTCTTTAACATTTATAGAGAACTGATATTAACAACATACCAGCCTCTGGATTTTTGAAAAATATTACCTGTATGTTGAATTCATGTTTTCATTTAATGATCTTGTGACCTCAGTGGCATAACTGGTTCATATGCTACACTGTGTCTGTGTATTTTTAGGTGTACACTGGATGCAGCTGTGTCATGGGGAACGTGTCCTGGGGCGAGGAGGGCTTTGCTCTGACAGGGAAGTGTGGCAGCTCCTGCCACCACATGCCAGCCTTCCTCTCCTTCCTTTTCATCATCATCTCCTTCACTTTCCTGTGTAGCATCCCAGCACTCACCGCCACGCTCAGGTGAGTGGCCACAAAGAAACCTTGGATAAAGAAAATAAATTACATCTCTGCATTATAGCTACCACTCAGTGGGACCAAACTACTTGTTGTTTTGTGTTTTGATCACATGTACACAGCTGGTGACTGCCTCTAGAAAAACCTTGACAAACACGTATCTGCCTTGGGTGCTGGGTTGCAGGGTTTTGAGAGTGGAGCGGGACTTAATAGAACAAACTACAATGTCAGCAACATTGAGAAAACGTGTCGATTTAGAACAACCTCAGTAGCAGCATCTATTTTGTCTATAATGCTCACCTTTGGTATTATTACTCCACACTGGCTCTGGCACACTGCTTGACAATGCTTGACAATAGCTTGACAACAGCGTTAGTCCCGCCCATGATGCTGATTGGATTGTTTTTATTTTAACTGAGAAACTCTTGTTTCATGTCGCGATGCCAGACAAGTCAGTAAACTCAAATAGACTGCCCAGGGATGATTTTTGCATCATGCTGGTTCCCTCATCAAACAGCCTATGAGATTTCCCACTGGATTTTGGATTATTGTCCAAAACAAGCTCTGTAGCAAACAAACATTTATGATACTTACATGTTTTGTTCCACAAGATAATCTTCACAAATTAACACCATTGTCATGATTATTGAAGTCCAAATGCAATCACCAGAAGCAAAAAAGTAACATTAGGCTATAAATAAACTAAAGTCACTACCATTACAAGACTGTAAAGCTGTGTTCAGCGCGGCGCAGCGTGATGACGTTCTGTAGTCTCATTTAGCCCCTTGTTAGCAACCGCCTTTTGTAAGACACATAGAAGCTTAAAAATTCACAAGTGGGGTGTTTACTGACATATTTTATATCGTAGCACAAAACATGAAAGTCACGTAAACTTGTGTTAACCACAGGCCTTATTTTAGGCATCTGACCAAAATCCCATTCAAAAAGTCCAATGATTTTAAAACGTGGGAACCATGAGTGGTAAAATGCTAACTCATTTCCAGGTTTAGAACTCATTCTTGGGGCACTCTGTTTGGCGAGGTGACATTTTCAAAAGTCTCGGCCCCTGTAAAAACAAACATTCTGTGGGTCCACAAAATTAGTTTAATAAAAATTACTTTCATTTATTGTCTATGGAGCAGCTCCAAACTTTATACTTGAGGACATCACAAGTTTGAGACTTATTTCTCTGGCTTTGAGAGAAAGTAGCTCGTGTTCGTAAATTTTTCATGGAAGGCTATGGAAATAAATAAAAATAGTGAAATCTGTCAGAGGGCAGCAGTCTCACAACTTGGTATGTTGTCTGTTGAATCTTGCCATAAACACACAGGCCTGAAATATACACACACACATGCACACACAGAGCCTATACATGCATTAAATGGAAAGATGTCGCAGCGAGGGGGCTGCCCCGAGCAGCTGGGGGTTCAGTGCCTTGCTTAAGGGCACCTCTCCAGCTGCCAGTCCCCCCTCCATACTTGGTCTATGGGGACTTGAACTGGCAACCCTCCAGTTCCCTTTCTAGCCACAGCAGGTAGCTGTTATCGGAGCTCTATATGCCCACTGTACACCAACTCCTCGGCACCAAAAGCAGAGAGACACAGAGCTAAAAGGGGACTCCAAATAAATGGTAATGTTGCTCTGTGTTTACAGCTTGTATCTGCTGCCTCCAAGTGGCCAAGAAATGCAGACTTTCTTGTTTAGTTTCTTCGTAGGAGTAAGATTTGCAGGGTGATCTTATCTACTCTGCTGGTCAGTTGAAAAAGTCATCAAGTATGATGTTTTTTCTTGTGAAAACACTGATTGGAATCCGTGATTTTACTACTGAATGCAAAAGGGCATTGCATGCTTTGAAATAGTACACTTAAGTCCTCTTTTCTGTTATTGGGGAATGGTGCTGTGACATTGTCATGGCTGTTGATCTCTTGTAACAGCAGTTCAGTATCCCAGTAGATGGCACGGTGCCTGTGACATCAAGAGACAGAGAGTCTTATCATAACACTGTCAGGGCAAACATTTGTGCAGAAAAACAAACAACACAAACGCAGCAAAAGGAGCTGGAGAAAGTGTACTTATTTACATCGTAATGAAGTTTGAGATGCATTACGCTTGAATGTCTGACCAACTGTGTGTTCTGTAGGTGTGTGCCGGACAGCCAGAGATCCTTTGGACTAGGTATTCAATGGATTGTGGTGCGCACGCTTGGTAAGTCCACTGGATTCTTTCGCAAAGTTTATTTTTAACCTCTGAATCAATACCAGTGTGCTTTAATCTCTCCACACAGATGATTCTGATTTTGTCCGATCTGTGCTGCTGTTTACCCACAGGTGGTATTCCAGGACCCATAGCATTCGGCTCTGTGATTGACATCTCCTGCTTACTGTGGCAGGATAAGTGTGGAGAGCAGGGCTCCTGCTACCTCTATCAGAACTCAGCCATGAGCCAGTATACACTAGTAGCTGGTATTATCTATAAGGTAATAATAATAATAGCATAGTAGCAGCTCGTTCACTGCAGTCTGACATTCAATCTTCTAGAGCCTAACTTTTTTAATACTTGGAGAAGTATGCTTATGTGGCAACATATCTGTGCTTCATTTTAGACTGAATAACACTGTTAACACAGTCACCTTAGAGAATGTAAAATCACCATTGATGTGGGGTCTGTGCATGCTTAAAGAAGTAGTTCAGCCTTGTGGCCAAATTTTAGATGAGAAAATCAATACCATTCTCATGTCCGTGCATCACATAGCCAGGAGGTGATTAGCTTAGTTTAGCATGACGCGTGAATGCAGGAGTGACGGCTAGCTTGGCTTTGCCAAGTTCAAACTCTGCCCAACAACACCTTTTACAACAGCTGTGGCCAGAGGCCTTGTGTTTACAGGTTATCTGTCCATCCATCCATGTGTCCATTCACCCCGACCCATTTTTATGCCTACACGCCAGTGATAGCTGTTGCCGGTGGCATTATGTTTTCGGTCTGTCCTTACGTACACACGTGCGTCCCATGCTTGTGAACGTGATCTCTCAAGAAAGCTTCAAGAGAATTTCTTCAGATTTGACACAAATGATAACTTGGACTGAACAATGAAGTAATTAGTTTATGATCATCATAGATCAAAGGTCGAGGTCACTTTGACCTTATCTGTCTCATTCTCATGAACGTGATATCTCAAGAACACCTTGAGGGAATTTCTTAAAAATTTACCTCAAACATTCACTTGGAATGAGGAATAAACTGATTCAAATTTGTGATCAAAGCACAAAAGTTAAAGGTCAGTATGACCTTACAAAACACGTTTTTGGCCATAACTCAATAATTCATAAGCTAATTATGGCAAAACTTTACATGAATGTCTCATAGGATAAAATATTGAAGTGAAGACATTTTAGGTCCAAAAGGTCAAAAGTCAACTTCACTGTGACATCATAATGTTCTGGCCATTACTCAGTTGTAGAAAACAAGTGTTGCACACTCTGGCTCCATATGTATTTCTTTTATTTTGATTACGTTTTGGCTTTTGGGCCTTCTTCAAGATCAAGATCAAGATCTTGATGAAGAAGATCAAGATCAAGATCAAGAAGGCCCTAAGCCTGAAATGTCATCAAAACAATAGAATATGCATATGGAGCCAGAGTGTGTGACACTTGTTTTCTACAATCAAGTCTATTGCCAGTGATCAGCACCTCATTATAATTCTTGGTATGCGTGACTGTTATATTTTTCAAAAATGGCCATTATTCAGTGTCATATATCAGGAACAGAAGGGGACACATTTGGTCAGATACTGAATTTGTGACACTGATCTTGAAATTGTACTGATTGTATAGATCCTCTGTGCCGCCTGGAGTAACATGTGTGAAGCATCCATATTTTCACAGACATTAATGTAAACTGTAAGAGAAACTTGACTGGTGCGTGGAGGCATGCAATCATGAGGTGGTAATTCTAGATGTGAATGTGGTATCAAAGGAACAACAAAAGAGAATTTCTTCAAATTTGGCACAAACGTCCTCTTATATATTTATTAATTGTTAAACTAGTCTAAGACAGAATTTTAACATAGGCCTGTACCACTTTTGATGCTGATATGCAAGCAGAGACAGCTCCTGTAGGCCTGTTTGTGAACTCTTTTCTGTGCACCCTTTATCTTGATTTCTGACTTTCCATCTTCACTATCATCTGTGCTCCTCTTTTTTAGGTTATGGGGACAATCTTTTTCCTGTTAGCCAGCATCCTGTACCAGCCTCCTCCTGAGTCACCTCAGAGCAGCTGTGAGAGCACCGACCACGGAGTAGGAGACATGAGCGACCTGCCTGTCAAAGACCTGCCTGAAGATGGCGTCATTGTCAACCTGCATGCCAGGTTATGACGTCAGTGACCCCCCGACTGCTGAGTCTCTGTCTGTCTGACTGTGTGTGTGTGTAGGTGCTGCTTAGCGCAGTGTGTGAATGTGTGTTTGGGTGGTGATGCAGGGGTGCTTCCTTTATACCAACAGCCTTCTCTCAGCCATAATGACACCACCCTCTACGTACACATGCATGCATGCAAACGCATGCAATCACATTTAATGGACAAGATTACTGTAATACAGACACGTAAACTCAAATGGAGGATGTCTTCACACACACACACACACACACACACACACACAACTTTCTATAATACATGATGATTCTAACATGCTGCTCTCGTGGAAGAAAATCCTGCTGTGACTACGTGTGTATATCTGAGAGTATGACTGATAGGCTGGTGCCAGGCAAGTTTTTATGTGCTAGGAAGCATTTCTACAGATATCTCAACACTATGTTGAATCAGTTCAAATGACTTTTTAGAAGGTAAGTCTGATGACATTTCTGTTTCATATTTTATGTCATTTTCCTTCAAAAGACAATGAAACAGTTGAGACCCATGTGGTATGTATTTATGTGCCGTGTGTATGAAGCATTTATGATGTGAAAAACGGTATTTATATCCATGCTCTTTTTTTCTGTTCTTTGCCCATTACTGGAAGATAGTTACACTGCTGTACTTCCCACCCAGAGATAAAGCCATGGTCTTGTATACAGTATGAGACCTTCAGGACAGTAATAACAAAGCCAAATCATTTCATATCATATGTCATATTTTAAGCCAATAGTATCTAAAGGCACTTATATTAATATAATGTGAATATATACTGGTCACAGTACAGCAGCACAAATATATTTTCAATTAGAAAAGCACATGCATATTTTTGATTGCTACTTGGACACATACAGTATACAAGAGATTTATGACCAGTAATTGGCTTGCATTAAAAGTAGTAATACAGAGACGAAAACCACCACGTTGGTGATCTATGAAATAGCTCTGAATATAAACATTGTTCTGTTTGCCAGAGTTTAGTAGAACAAGCTTTGATGCTTCTCTTCCATAGAAATTGCATAGCTGCACTTTAAAAAGAAAATAAAGGCGCTGAGAAGCTTGAAAAGTATGTGTTGGCACAATTAGGGCCTGGTCACAACAGCTTTTTAAATGGAGTAGGCATAGCTGCAACTGAAGCAGCTTCATGACCCACCCAACATACCCTTTTATGCCTCCGTGCCAGTGATAGTTGTGGCTGTTGTCCATCAGTCCATATGTCAGTATGTCCATCTGTCCCATTTTTGTGAGCCCTCACAAGCCTATCACACAAACGTTTTGAGGGGATCTCTTTAAATTTAGCACAAATGTCCACTTGGACTCAACAATGAACTGATTAGATTTTGGTGGTCAAGGTGTCTGTGACCTTGCAGCTGTCTCATTCTCATGAACCCAATATCTCAAGAACACCTTGAAGGAGTTTCCTCAAATTGGGGGAAAACGGCCGTTTGGACTCAAGAATGAACTGATCAGGATTTGGGGGTCAAAGGTCAAGGTCACTGCGATCTCACAAAACATGTTTTTGGTCATAACTCAAGAATTCATAAGATAATTATGACAAAACGTCACACAAATGTTTAGTTGAATATAATGTTAAAGTGATGACTTAGATCCAAAAGGATATTTTCACTGTGATATCATAATGTTCTGCAGAAACACTTCTCTGGCCATTACTCGATGGATGTAAACAGTAACTTGCCTGGTTTACCAAGGCATACAAGGTTGTTGTTGTTTTTTTTTGGTGGTGGTGATTTATTTTATTTTTTTGCACTTTTGCGTTTATTTGAGAGATGACAGTGGAGAAGCAGACTGAAAACGGAAAGAGAGGGAACACAGGCAGCAAAGGTCCCAAGGCTATAATTGTGCCTGAGATGTTGCAGTTACATGGTGTGCAATGTAACCACTCAGCTACCAGCGCTCCACTCACCCACCATACCTACATGTCACTTCATGCACAGGCCTCTTTGCTCCTTGGTCTGAATGCACAAACCCTGAAGAAAATGCTAAGTTAGCATTTCACAGCTAGCTATAAAGTAGTAGGTTAAAAGAAAGGCTGTTAAGGTTAGGGTAAGGGTAATGGTTACATCTCGTTACTCATACAGTGAATCACGTCTTCTTGTATGATTAATTATAAAGTGGATTATTGCTGTGTTTTATTTGTTCACTACAACGTCGGTGAGTTTGTCTTGTACTAGTGGTGGGTGTGGTTTGTATGGACATGTCGTGGAATATGTCCACAGATCAACACGTTGCTTTCAAATGGCAAAAATGTTGCAATATAATGAATTGTTACCACTGCGAAGTAAACCAGCGCACATATTTTGCTCCACTTTGGGGAACTCTGCCATGTAAATTTGCGCCATGACTAGTCTGAGCGGGCGGAAGTTCGCTGCATAGATCAGCCTCTCATTGGGCGGAACGAGCCACCCACTGAAATCCCGCCCTACCACCGCCGGTTGTGCAGCAGTTTTCAACCGTTTTCAACATGTCCTTTACTAACTTTTGCGGTGTTTGATCATGCGGAGATGTAGCCATTTTTCTGCCATGGTTCGCGTCCTGTAGGCGATATTTTTGTGGGCGTGTTACACCAAAACCTATTTACCCCCGGCAATATTTTTGCAAGGGCACCGTTGCTGTGGCACCGCCCAGAACGATTGTGATTGGTTGAAAGAAATACAAGCAGCCGGGGCGTTTTTTCCTCCAATCTTGAAGTGAGAGTCGGCGCAGCCAGACCTTTATTTTCTTGAGAAAGGTCTGGTGAGCCAGACTACGCCATGACTAACTGAAGCTGTCTCTGCAGTGTTGACTGTAGATGGAACAGAGAAAGTCCAAAGTGGCTGAAGCTAACTTAGCTTATTAACCATGTTAAGCTAACGGCTTTTACAAAGAACCAAAGTACAAAACCTCTTTCAAAAATCCCATTGACATTTATAATGACACAAATAACTAAAAATCTAGCCATGAAAGATCTGCACTTATTTGCCTTGCCTTGCTGTGCTGCTATCTACTCATCACAATTATTCATTAAGTGACAAAATGTACACATTTGAAATGCTGGAGTGACCGTGCCTTTAAGATGGATATTATGAGAAGTAGCTTGTGAGTTGGAGCCGCCCAGGACAATGCACAATTGGCTGGACATGCAGTTTAACAAATCAGCATCGTTATTTGGAACTAATTATCACCTAGTTATTACAAATGTGCCAAAGCAGCTTTGCCTAACAACTCTTGTGTTTTATTTTTTATCATTGACCTTATTTATGCAAATTATTAATTTATAATATTTCAGCTTTGTTTTTTATATTTATTTTTTTGCATTCACTGTGATGATAAAAGGAATGCTGCCCCGGCTCTCCTCCTGCCACCCTTTGTCCAATGAAACTCCTCTCCTTGTCTTTATTATTTATGTGATGTGAAACACAAGTTGACAATCTGCTATGTGTTGCCTGTATTGTTGTCATGTACTTTGCTCATGTAAGAATTGACCTTAAAGGGATAGTTCACCCCCAAATCATAATACATACATTTCCTCTTACTTGTAGTGTTATTTACTGAACTATGTCCGCCAACTATATCACTTCACAGAAGGAAGCATCTACTCATGGACGAGAGGCTGGTGCTTGTGAGATGTAAATAATGGTATCCTCCTCAACTGAGCTGTAATTCACAACTCACAACAAACTGCAATCTAGATTGATAAATAGCACTGCAGGTAAGAGGAAAAATATGTATTTGTGATTTTGGAGTTGAACTGCCCCTTTAACACCCTCCAGCTAATGTTGATGAGTTTAATCTCCATGTGAATGTGTAAATGCAGTCCTCCTAAGTGTGCTTTCAATCAATGCTGAGCTTTGAGGAACCACTCTGTAAATTGATTTATATTCCTTTTTTATTTTGTTTTTTGGTACTGTTTGATTTTTTTAAAAAAAAAGCAGTGGACTTGAAATCAATGATCTTTTTATGGAATGATTCAAAGATGTCAAGTGTTTTCTAATTACAATAGCTTAACAGTGGGTTATTGTTTGTGTGTGTCAAATCATTTTTATGGTGTGTGTGTGTGTGTGTGTGTGTGTGTGTGCGTGCGTGCGTGCGTGCATGTGTGTGTTTATGTGGAGGCATATAGTCCTCATGTATATGAGTCCTCGTGACGTAAATCACTTAATGTTAGACTGAAGACTTGGGTTAAGTTTAGGGTTAGGGTTGAGTTTCGTTTAGGCAAGTAGTGGTTAGGGGTTAGTGCAGGGATAGCCTGCAGCTCCGGAGCCACATGCAGCTCTTAAGCCCCTCTCCATGGGTCCCTGTGGCTTTAAACAAAAAATATATGGAAATGGATAACAGTTATTTTTTTAAACATTTCAATACTCATACACCATTGTTGTAGGTCTAAGGTCATTCTTACATCCCTCAGTCGTACAAATGTGTAGCATACACCAAAATCAAAAAATGTCATCAGCTAAAATGTGCGTCTATGGCCTAGCGCCTTTTTCCTCTAAATTTTGCTGAACCTCAATAGCAGTGGCTAGTCTTGAATCTCCCTAGCTAGTCTAGCTGTGGATTTTCATTTTCACCACCAACGCTGCAAAGTTAAAGTGCCAAATAATCATAAATCGCCCACTGCAGAGGAGCCACCTGTTAGTTATGTTGATAGGATAATTTAGACTTTATTGTTACCTTTATAATAAGGCTTAAATATGTTTTTCAGCTCCAGACAGATTTTCATTTATTTCTTTGGTCAAACATGGCTCTTTGGATAGTAAAGGTTACCAACCCCTGAGTCAGGGTAAGTCTCCAGGAAATGAATGTACATCAATGGAATGTCCTCTGAAGTGATGGAAACATGACTGTGTGTGGGCGTCACGCTCCCAGGAAGTGCACCGAGCTTTGAAGCCCATTTTCACAGTGGCCAAACAGTGGAATTACAACTTCCGGGCCTTGCACGTGATCCCAGAAAGATTTTTTTCCCCAAAGACTTCCATTGTAAAAGACCCGTCTGTCAATCAGTTGGTAATGTTTTTGAGAGTCACAACCTCCGCCATTTGATTCGTTTTACTATCAGAATTTTATTCCTATCCTACTTCGCAGATTGCTAAGCCGGAGATAGCCAACTCCGCTGGCGGGAGTCTGAGTGCAGAAGCAGTGCCATTCAGCTGGGTAATTTCATACACAGCACTTTAACCTTTTGGGCCACTGTGCAACTTTCATAGGAATGAATGGGGCCCTGACTTCAATACTGTCTCCAGGTCTCTTTATACAGTACATCCATGATGTGAATGTGTGGGTGTTTGCGTGTGTGAGAGTGATCTTCCCGAGAACAGAAAGGGACAAATAACATCACATGATGCAGGAAAGACAACAAACAATATAAAAAGAAAGGTGAACAGGCGGCCAAGCATTGTTCAAGCCCACAAGATGTATTTAGATTGTTTGGGTTCTTTCCTTCCTTCCTTTTTTAATGAAGTGTCTAAACAAGGAGATACAAAATAAACAACATGCAGCAACTTCCTCTTAAATTTCTCTTATATCTTCCCCATTTTCTGCTCAGAGATAAAATAAGAGGACCAAACGTTCTTACCATAAAATCTGCTCTTACCCAAGGGTGCTCAATGATGAATTTCACTCTATTAGCACAGGTTACATCATCTAAACACTATATAAGGGCAGGTGTTGTACTGTGGACGAATACTCTGGCACATGCCAGAACTGGAGAGATGACACTAAAAAAAGATGATAAGAAAATGAACTTTTGCAGTGGTGAAATCAACTTACTGTCAAACAAACTTAAATAAAGTAGGTGTTTTTTTCCAGCGTGTCAGTACACAAAAATCCAGCAATGACAAAACATTTGTAATGCTGTAAATTCTGGGCCAGCAGCAGTGGTTGAGGCAGTAATCAGATTCTTTACTGTAATAAAAGTACTAGTACTACACTGTAATCATAACTGCTGCAAAGTCAGAGCTGGGCATTTTGAGGAGAAAGAAGAAGAGCAATGGCTAATTTTGATCCAGCTGAGCTATCTGTGCTGGGAAACCCTTATGGATAAACAAACTGTGCTAAAAGCTAAGCTAAACACACGTATGGATAAGTGTTCAGAAAGGGAGGAAGAAGAATAAAAAGAAAAGAAGGAGGGCAGGATGAGGAAAAGAAAAGGTAAGAAGAGGAAGGACGCAAAAAATAAATCTATGAGGACCCAGCAGTAGAACTTTTCCAAATATATCATTAATCCTTGAAATATTGTGTTTTTCTAACCCACACAGCACAGTGTCTGAGGAGGCAAACGCATATTCAATCTGCACCATCCAGGACTTGAACTCACAGCTTTCAGGCGCCAATGGCAAGTTGTTATCAAGCTGAGCTGCCT